CGAGAGTAAACCTTAGGGTTGGAGGCAGAGGTACGGAGGCCTAGGAGCCTATATACCCCGTGCCAATCCTAGGGTACTGAGGGGTTGGATAGCTGTAACATAACTGTGTATACAAACTTCCCAAAAGGGTAATACAATCCGTACTACGTACCGTACCTAGGGCATCATTAAACGTACGGTACGGCTCACGAACTCGGTACGTTCGTACTGAACACGTGACCGTTACGGTTCACTTTGTACGGACCGTAGTACGGCCCGTTGGAAGCCCTGGTGATTATGATCTTTGTGTTTATCTATAGTGAAGCGCGAGTTGCGAGATACCCCTTAATTCCTATGGAAATCTTTAAGAAGAGAACAAACGTCGCTTCCTTCATGGTTGTAGCTTTCCACGGATTCGTAAGTGTCCCTTCTCTTCATAATAGAAGTCGCCAAACTCTTTACTCATCATTGCACAGGCATTCATCAGCGCAGAATACTACATGCCACTATTCCTCCAATCTGTCCTAGAAGCTACTCCTCTGATATCCGGTCTCCTACTCCTCCCCCTCGTTGTCACAACCGCAATCACTGGCCTCACCAGCGGCGTCATCATCCACCGCACAGGCCGCTTCCGCGAACTGATCTGGACTGGTACCGTCCTTCTATGTATCGGCTTCGGACTCTTCATCTCCTTCACTGCCCACACTACCAAAGCCCAAGTCATCGGTTTCCAAATTCTCGCTGGCGGAGGCTCAGGACTACTTTTCGAAACGCCTCTTATCGCCGTACAATCCCAAGTCGCTCAAGATGACGTCGCAACCGCAACTTCCACGCTTAATTTCATCCGCAACATGGCGCTTGCTATTTCCGTCGTCATCGGCGGCACGATTTTTCAAAATTCGATGGACGATCGTGCGAGTTCACTACGAGCTGCTGGACTCCCTTTGCCACTTCTCAATAATTTTTCCGGCAAGAGTGCGGCGGCAAATGTCATGCTGGGTAGTACGCTAGAGAATCCGGCTTGGGAACTTGCTATAAAGGAGAGTTTTGCGTGGGCGATTAGAAATATGTGGATCTGTTTTACCGGGATTGCCTTCTTGGGTGTTGTTGCTGGAGTTTTTATTGAGGATGCGCATTTGGGGACTGAGCATACGGAGACGGTGACTGGGATTAAGAAAGAGAAGAGGAATCGGGGAAGCGAGAGGTAGGTTTTGATAAATGTTGAATGTAAAGCTGTTGTATTGGACAGCGTTCCCAACCGTACGTAATACGTTTCAACTCGCCGTTTTTTAGGCCGTAACTTCTCAGTTTGTTAGTACGTTTTAATGTAAAGGGAGAATTTAAATCCACTTACAGGGCGTAACTGTTACAGCTTACAATCCTCCTACATTTTAACAGCTTGTAAGACGTTACAGTGTATACAGTCTACTAAGTCCCCTATTTTACTGTAAATATAACCCTGCTAGAGCTAGTTTTTCTATAGTTAAAAAGCCTTAATTATTAAGCTAAAAAGCTTATTTTTATTGCAAGTAATAGTCTTTTTACTTCTAAAAAAGGACCTCTTATAATTATAGCTTATAAAAGGGATAAATAAAAAGTTAAAAGTAATTTTATATAGTGTAAAGTAAAAGAGTTGTCTAACTTATTCTTACTAAGTAAAAGGGTTAGTAAATAAAGGGCTGTTATTATTAGCTATAGTAACATCTTTGCAGTAGCTGTTATAGTACTACTACAACTTTATTATTTTCTACTACTTTTTATATAAGCAGCTGCTAGTAAGAAGGCTTATGTTAATAAAAAAAGTTTTTTTAAAGCTTTTATTATAATAGTTACTACTAGGTAACTTGTGTTGTGTAGGCTTTTAAGTAATGTTGTTATTATTAGCTTTAGCTTTAGCCTCTATATTAATATACTTTTAAAAAATAGCCTTTATTAAAGCCTTAGCTTTTTTATACTATGTAGAGTGCTTTTTTTAGTAGTCCTTAAACTAAATAAGACAAAGTTAAGGGTTTAAAATTATTACTACACAGTAATAAAATATAAGTAGCTTAATAATAAACTTCTTTTAGTATATAAGCAACTTCTCTGTGCTAAATACTACGCTAGATTTAAGGTAGTAATTATTACTCTTACCCTTAAGTTTATTGCCTATACATAGAAGCTTAGTATAAAGGTGTTGTAGGTTAATAATAGACATCTAGAGAGAGCTATAGGAGCTGTTACCTTTAAAGTGTTTTATTATAAAGTAAAAGACTTTAAAAAACTTATAAAAGTAATTAACTTTTTTTTATTTATTCTTAGTAATAACCTTAGTAAGAGTAGAGTTACTAAAGATAGTAAAGTTTATAAAGTTATTATTAGTGCTTCTTTACTTATATATAAACTTAGTAATAGTGTCCTTAAGCTTAAAACAGTAAAGGAGTATAAAATAAACACTATGCTAGCGTACGCTACTGTCTTATATAAGATTAAGCGTTCTAAAGCTCTAGAAAGAGTTGTTATTATTAAAAGCAGCTTAAAAAGTTATAAAAGCCTCCTGTTATTTATATAATGCTAGCACTATGTTTATAAAATTATAAAGTTTTCTAATAACTTTATAGTAGTAATAAAAGTTAAATTATTTTTAAAGAGCTGCTTAAGTAAGCTTTACTTTAAAAGCGCTTATTTTTTTACTATAGATAACTGCTTTTACTACTAGCTAAATTGTATAGCTAGCGTAGTGTATACAGTGCTTAGAGGTAAGGGGCATATTAAGATGTTAAGTAAGAGTAGAGATAGTCTTATTATTATTATTTAACACATTATTAGCTACTAAATAATAAAATTTTAACATAATTTTAAAGTTATTAATAACTTTAATAATCTCTAGCGCTTAATTTACTCTAGTATAGTTGCTATACAAGTTATAGAAGCTAATTAGAATGTTATAGTATTAGTAGTTAACATCTACATAGTATTATTAGTTAGTATTTAGTTTAATAAGAGATGCTAAAATGCTAAACTAATAAGCTAAGGTACACTTACTAATAAAGTGCAACACTACACCTAAAAAGAAAAGGTAGTTTAAAGAAGTCTATATATTAACACTTAACATAATTTTACTTTAGGCTATTCTTAGTATTATTTAAATCTTTTACTTCTACTGCGTATATCTCTGCTGCATGTAGGATAAATATATAGTGTTAGACGCTAAAAAGGCAGCAAGAAGATTAGCTTTATTTTAGGTAATAATGCCCTAAAGTTCTACTAATAATGCTGTATAAAAAAAAATATTATAAAGTATTACCTAGTTAATAACTACTACTTATAAAGCTTTCTCCTGCTAAACACTATAAAAGATAATATATAATAAGCTTGCAACCTTATAAGCTGCTTTAAATAGACTTAAAAAGATTTTTAGCTTATTAAGTAAGAAAGCACTCTTACTTTCTTTACTAATGTCTATTTAGTGCTTTTTTTTAAGGTAGTAGATAATATAAGTGTAACTATTAACTTTCTTTACCCCTTTGTAATTGCCCTTAGCGTAGCACCTTCTATAAAGCTATAACTTTATCCTAAAAGCGTTTTTTTTATTATTATACACTAAATTAGCTTTATAAAGCTATATCTAGAATAACTAATAATTACTATGTAATTAGCTTTTATGCTTTACCTAGTATTTAAGCCTTTCTAGCCTTAACTTTTTATTTTCTATCTAGACATTGTTCTACTTAATAGTAAATAATACTTTATTATTAAAAGTAGAGTTGTCTAGGTACTTCTTTATAAGGGCTAAAAGACTATTAAATAGCGTGCTATTATAAAAAAAAACTAAGGACTTTAATAATAAAGACCTTAATTAGGCAAGTTAACAAGAACTAGCGTAATAAGCAACTCTAGTTTAGTAAAAAAAGCTAGCTTAAAAGAATTCTTAAGATAAGGCTGTACACCTGCTACACTAAAAGAACTAGGATATCTAGCTTATAATAGGTAAGTCTATAGGTAATTATAATTCTTAACTAAAATTATAGGATCCTACACCTTAATCCCCTCCTCTGCTAGCTCCTTAATTGTTATACAAACTGTAGAGTTTTTACTTAATTATTACTCTAAAAATATAACTTTAAATACCCTCCTAACACGTCCTTATAGCTGTCTAATAAGACCTTATATTACTAGGAAATATTGTCTCTCCAAGACGTATTACGGTCTGTAATGGGAGCTGGCTCCTACGTACGTTACGGCTCACACTCCTCCTACGTTTCAACGGCTCACGTGACTGCTACGTTCACGTATCTACGAGTCGTAGTACGTACGGTTGGGAACGCTGGTATTGGATAAGGAGCGCAGCTCCGGCTATAAACCCTACACTACCCAATAGCTCCTGCATCAGTTGAAGATGTTTACACCAACTGATGCTATCTCTTTAATCCAATACTACCTGCCTCACGTTACTGGGTATACCTGCCACTTCAACAGGTTTCGGGGTACCCAAGGGGAAACATAAGGAAGGCTTTCTTCAACAGAAGCACCAGAAAGGCTCGAGAAGTATTCACTACGAACTTGGCAATTAATCCCGAACCCATTCCATGTCAAGGTCATCTCTGGAGCACATCTTGATTTTCCTTAAAATTAGTCAAAATGCTTGTCTTTCTACGACTATGGACTTTCATTCCTTCCTCGCTTCCCCTAATTGAAATTATAGTTACCCCGGGATTGTGCACCCACTTTGCGAGACACTATTCTCCACAGAATTAACTATATATTGAAACTGTTGAATGGGCTCCGACAGCTAGCTGCTTATGGTATGAGCACTTAAGTAGCAAGAGTAAGAGTGGTGTACGGTGTGCACAGCGTACAAGGTAGGTAAGGTGAGGGCAACATGTTTTCTGGTTCTATTGCTCTTGTCTTTCCTCCGTACGGAGGAAAAGGGGGATATCTAGATGTTCGCGCACGGAGGTTCGCGCACGAGCATCATGTGACATAGATACATGGTCCTGCTCGTGCGCGATCGCTCGTATCCAGATCGTGACGCTGCTGCTGCGTACGGACAGAAACCACAATCCTTCCACCACCAGAATAAACGACTAACCTTGGCAGCCACTACAATAGCAGACACAAACATGCAAGATCTACTCGAGGTTAAGGTTGCCGTTAGATGGGGGGTGAGAGGGAGATGATTGGAAGGTCGGGATCTCTGTGTGCTGAGGAGCGTAGGGGTTAGGGTCGATGGTTAGAAGGGGGAGAGAGAAGGGAGAGGGCACTAGGTTCTGGGGCGGTGAGCTGTGGATGCGTTGTAGAAGGTATGTATTTACGTCCAACTGTAGCATTATTGATACTCACTTGCATCCTTCCTTATCTGTGCACATTCGCTTACAAATATCGGATTTGCAGCCCAGAAGTTCTCGTTGTTGCCGTGAATTCACTAAGTACACCACATTATACAACCACAGTTGAAACCCTTTGAAACCAAATACCTATAAACCCCTGCCCTAACTCTTTGCCCTTACCCACTGTGCCCGAGACTAGCGTGCTTGAGCAAACGCGGTACGTTTTAATTTGCTGTTTTTCTAGTTGTAACTTCTTACTTTGTCTGTACATTTTAATATAAATAGAGAATTTAAAGATTCTTAGAAAGTGTAACTGTAACAGCTGATAATAGCGCTATGTTTTAAGATCTTACAAGAAGCTACGCTAGGGCTATTAACCTTATATAGTCTACTAGAAATACTAGCTTACTGTAAACAGCATACCTCTAAAGCTAAATCTTCTATAGTTGTAGCACTTTAATTAGCATATTCTACTAGTAAGCTAGCTACTAAATTTTATCAGCCGACGCACAGTCTCGCCTGACGCACGGAATTTGCCGTACAGCGGCACCGCGACTTAAAGCTCTAGGGCAACATATAAATAGAATATAGGCCTGGTTTTTTAGTGGATTAGAAAGCTAATTACAGCAATTAATTTAAGGCTACTAGCTAGTCACAGAAGCGTGCAGGAAGCTTAATAGCTTTGCCTTTGCAATTTTGCTTGCATAGCAGCCCTACTACTTTAATAATTAATTAATCTTTAACTACTTACTCTAGCCTACTAGCTATAGGCTGTGTAGTCTTTCTAGCCTTCCTAGAAGTTTTAATGTTGCTTTAAAGTTAGTAGTTAGCTTTTTTAGCTAGTTAATTTTTTTTCTTCTAAAGCCTTTTTTTTTTAGCCTTTTATAGTTAAGTGTTTTTAGTAGCTGCTTTTATATGCTTTCTTTTTTTAGCTATATAAGCTTTCTTACGCTTCTTAGCCTTTTTATGCCTAGTTTTTTTATCTTTTTATTAACATAAAAGCTTTACAGTAGCTTTCTTTTTAACTTATTAATTACATACTTATTAAACTTTTTTAGGACTATAGAATATAGCCCTACTATAGTACTGCTTAGGAGCTATAAGTAGAAGAGGTTTACTACACTTTTACTTTTTCTTTTTATTAACTAAAGCTTTTATAAGGCCCTAATTCTTTATCTAGAGAGTTATAACCTACATTAAGAAACTATGTATAGTATTACTAAGCTGCTTAGCTTACTAGTTAGAGATATTACTAACTACCTTATATAGAAGCTTATCTATGTGTTTCTAATCTTAAGTAGTAAGAGCTAACTAAGAGCTCTTACTAGAAGAAGGTCTACTAGTACTAGTAGTACTAAATTAAGTAAGAACTTTTTTAGGGTTAAACAGCGCTAGGCCACAGGCCTTAAAGCTAGAGAGTATATTCTTTTTAGTAAATAAGGTCTGCTAGGCTTTGTTAAATAAGTAAAAAAAGTCTTACTTTATAATAGCTATAAACTCTATTAATTTATACATAAAACTAGCTAGTTTATTTAAATAAGCTGTTACTAGTAGCTTAAACAAGCTAACATTAAGAGGCTGTAGCGTATAGGTTAAATAAGGTAAATAGATAGCTAGCAAAATCCTGTTCTAGTTACAGTAGTTAATAAACTTTATAAAAACATAAGATTTATAGCTATCTAGGATTAATAGCCTATACACTTAATAAGCTTTTTTTTTAATCTATTTATTAAACAGCTGTTTAAGCTAGCATAGGCCTAAATTATTATTTGTCTAGCTACTAGAAGATAAAGCAAAGAAGCACTTATATACTACTAGGTTAAAATCTTGTAACTAGCTATTTTAGATGTTACTAGTGCTAGCTTAGTAGATAAGGCCTAAAGAGAGCGTAGAGCTGTTAGCGTAGATATAAGCTATACAAGTTATCTACTTATAATTGCTGTCCTGTATAGCTTGCTTAAGGCTACTTTTTTTATATCTTTGCCTAAAGAAGATCTGCTTTGTTCTTAATAGTACACTAATAAAAAAGCCTTTTTTATTTATATTGTACATATGCTGTGGCTCTATCTTGTACTTCTAAATCTTCTACTGTAGTAGCTTAAAATAGAGCTTATATTTAAAGGCTAAATTAGCTTGCTTTCTATCTTAATCTAGGCTAAAGGTCTAGTAGGTAACTAGGGAGATTTAATGCTATTAAAGAAAGTAATTAGGCTAGACTTTCTTTACTTCTTTACTGCAAAGTTCTAAAGCAAAATTACATAGCTATTACTTTATAAGTAGTAGGCTACGCTTATAAAGCTGCTTAATATACTTTATAAGCTCCTTCTCTTGTTGCTTATTAAGTAGTTGTTAGTTTTTATACTGCTCTACATAAAAGCTCTAGACGCCTTACTAACGCTTTAATAGCCTAGTTCTTTTAACACTATACTTTTTAGCTATTATAGTTGTCAGATATGCGCACCTACTGTCAAGACAGGAGGAACGTTTGACGAAAGCGGCTACATAGTACGAGCAATAAGCTCGAACAGTATGTTGCTGCAAATTGCAGCATTTTGCAGCATTTTGCAGCATTTTGCAGCATTTTGCAGCATTTTGCAGCATGTTGCAGCAAATTGCAGCAAATTGCAGCATGTTGCAAGCTGGTCGCGCATAGGGCTAGTGCGCGAGGGACTCGGATCGGAAAAACAAAAGCCGAGCAACACGAGTAGAGCAGAAAAAGGATCGATAAATAAACACGATCAATACAATCAATCAATCATCCCATACATCACATCCAAACCCATCATTCATCTCAGGAAGCCTAGAAACAGTGCTTTAATCTGACAATAGTAATATTAATTAATTCTTTTAGTTTTAGCAATTTTAAATATGCTAGCGCGTTCTTAATACAGTCTATATTAGTAGAGTTGCAATAATGTTAAAAATTAGCAAAATCTAGTGTGTGTGTGCGTTAGGCGAGACCGTGCGTCAGCTGATTAAATTTAGTACTCTATTAAGCTAGCTACTTTTTCTTAGCATTATAAACATGATAAATAAAACTATAATTTTATTTATAACTAGAGAATCTATATACAATATGCTTGTGTCTAAGCCGAATGCTACAAGGCAGTAAAGCCTAACGCTAAGATGCTGCTGTACGCTAGTGCTATTTAAGCTTAAAGAGTTAAACTAGTAGAGTAGTAAAAGAATATGCCTGAAACTAGCTAAGGAAAACTATATAATAAGTAGTGTTTATTTAAAGTGCTTTTACCTCTGTACTTATTTAAACTTTAGATGTTAGATGAGCATTAAACTAGTGTATTGTTAAAGTGTTAATCTGTCTATTCTAGAAAACATTATTAGTATTTGAATAAAAGTGCTGCTAATATTTAAGTAGCTAGATTTTCACTTATTAAAACTACGCTAGTTATAACGTTACAATTAAAATTTGTTTTTAGCTAACGTTAAAGCGTTTCTTCTATGAAAATTGAGCGGCAACTAGCTAATTTACTAACGTTAGCGCGATGCCGGAAACGAGCCTGGACACTACTGTACGGAAACCAATTGGGGTGACGAAACCAATTGGGATGACGAAACCACTTGTGATGACGAAATCACTTGGGATGAAGGAACTGCAAAAGATCTCCCCAAATCGTCTACCTCTGACCGCTTCTTGGCATTTCAAACACAATATGGCCGTCCTAACATCTTCCTACCTTTCTCTACAAGACGATGACCACGCAAGGCCGTCGTCATCGAAGTATAACCCCCCTAAACCGTCTATTCACAAAGCCAGATCACCCTGACTCACCCATAAAGCCGCTCCAGTATCCAAGAAGAAGTTCATAGGAGATCCGATGGTCGACTTTCAGGCATCTCAGTGGCTCTCATTGCGTTTAAGTTCAAGTCTCAGGTGGTCATTCTCAACAGACGTGGAGAAATCTAAGGGAACCAAAGGAAAGTGGAGGCCGAAGAAAAAGGAATAGTTCATCATAATCAGTCTCTCCATCATCTCGCTCATGGTAGCTCTTGATGGGACGATAGTAGTCACAGTACTACCACTGTGTCCTGCTCTTGCCCTTAATAAGATCCCTCGACTTACCTATATGCCAGCAAATTGCTGTATCCCTTAACAGAACTTCTATTAACGAATTTTAGGCGGGTACTTTCTATCTTTTCTCTAGCGCTATCTTCTAGCTTGTTATTACCTTAGTCTCTGGATTTTTTTAGCTCCTAGCAGCTTCTTCTCTTTTCATTAACCTTTTTCACTGTGGGCACTATTCTCTGCGCTGGCGCCAAGAACTTCACCGTTATTTTAGCTAGTTAAAGTATCCAGGGTATTAGCATCATTTTACTCAGCCAGGTAATCTTCTGTGATATTGTCCCGCTAAGGGTTCGCCCAAAGTACTTCGCCATCGTGTTAGCCGCTTAGTCAGTCGGTACTATCACTGGCCCTGTGATGGGTGGCGCTTTTGTTAAGCATGGTGGTGATCTTAGATGGCGATGTAAGTCAACTTCGCAGCAATACTAAAAGGACATCTGCTAACCGCAATCTGTATCAGGGGCTTTCATCACCAACTTTCCCCTTTGCGCCCTTAGATATATCCTCGCCACTCTCTTTATACGGCTCAATGCTGTGTCCCTAATAACTCTTGCCCAGAAGCTAAAGTCTATGGACTGGATTAGCGCTGTGCTTTTCCTAGGCAGTGCGACAGCCTTGTAGGCTTGTTATGGGGTGGAGTCCAGTATGCTTAGGTATCAGTGCGAACCCTCACCCCCGTCATCGTAGGTCTCGCAGGGGTGGTCGTCTTTGTGGGTTAGCAGCTGCAGGGCTTCCAACGGGCCGTACTACGGTCCGTACAAAGTGAACCGTAACGGTCACGTGTTCTGTACGAACGTACCGAGTTCGTGAGCCGTACCGTACGTTTAATAATGCCCTAGGTACAGTACGTAGTACAGATTATATTACCCTTTTAGGAAGTTTGTATAGGGGTTCTAGAGGGGTAGGAGGGCTCTGGCGAGCAGGAGGCCTGCGGAGAGCGCTTAGGGAGGCTTCTAGGGTTCTAATTAGCTAAAAGTTTTGCAAGGACGCTTAAATCTTTTTCTAAAGGGTTTAATCTATCTATCTGCAGTCTTTTGCCTTAAAAATTGCCTATTACAGACTATTTTCTATTGCAGAGTTATCTATCCACGCCTCTTGCCGCCTTACAGGCCTTATTTAGTCCTATCTACTCTTGTTACTAGGGAGAACTAGTTATTTTATTATTAATTAGACCTAAATCTTACATCTCTAGAGACCTATAGTCTTAGCTGTTTTAACTAGAGTATAGTGTACTTTAATTAAATTATACTACTTGTAAAGATCACGTGAGCTGTAACAGTTACAATACGTACACCTACCTCTCCTCCTCCCTGTTGTACGAACGTACACAAAATCTCACCTGTACAGGCCTTAAAATCGCCCAATTGTACAGTACTACGCCTTGTTGGAAACCCTGAGCAGCTGTACATCAAGAAAAGAGCTTTCTGCCAAAGCCAATCTTCTACTGCACTTCCGCCATCTAGGCCTTTTACTGCGCCTTAGTGAACAGCGCACTTGTGAATAATTTGTTATACTTTAGGCCCACAATTAGCTAAACCCCTTTCTAGATCTTCTTAGCATTATATTACACCTCCTTCTACTGCATGTCAGCCCGAGGTTCTACGACAACACGTACAGGTATTAAAACCTTCCCAGCGCTTTTCCTTATGGTACCCGGCTCCATCGTCGTCGCTCGTCTGACTACACGCGTGGGTCGTTTCCGATGTGCTATCTGGATCAGATGGGCGATGACTACGCTTGGCTGTGGCCTGCTTTTATTGCTTAACTTGCATACCAAGTACGTTGTTCTTGCCGCGGCGCTGACAGTCTTTGGAATTGGTTCTGGGATGGTGCTCACGAGCGTCAATGTGGGCATTCAGGCCATTTCCAAGGTCGAAAATTGCTCGATGGCGGCGAGTATGTACGGGTTCATGCGAAGCCTAGGCATGCCGCTTGGTGTTAAACTGAGTGGTACCGTCTTTTAGAATGCCATGTCAGGCAAGCTGTCCAACTATGGTCTCCCAGGTTCCATTGCGCATGATTCGGAGCGATACATCCACGTTCTGCGGACCATGGAGATCGATGATCTGAAGCGGACTGCCATCCTTGAGTCGTATCTACACGGCTTCTGGTGTGTATTTTTTGTCATGACGATCTTTTCTGCAAGTGCTCTGTGAGTTTCTCTCTTCATTAGGAGGTTTGACATGAACAAGACGCTCCAGAGTAAGTTATCAACTAGGTCATGAACAACCGATAGGGTATTAGTGGACGGGATTGTGGCCGCACATATTATGGTGGCATGAAACTGCTATTATATCCCGTCACCCTTTCGAAGGGAAGCTTATGAGTAATTGCACTGATTCTAAAGGAAGGTATCTAGTTTTCAATATATAGAAAGGAGAGAGGTTTTTGGCATTAACATCTCGCGCATCGTCGTGGACTGTTATTATATGCTGGCTTATCAGCGACGAGTAAGAAGCCTGCTGAGGCCTTCAGTAAACTCGCGAAAACAATCTCTCCAAAGCCATAGCTTTGTTAATGCGTAAAGGCTGCTACGTGTGGGTGATCTAAATTACCTACCAGGACTCACCCAAACACTAATCAATGGCTACCACCAGCTCTAGTGTCTTGGTCATCATCCTTCTTAGGTTCAGGACCCTTGTAACAACAGTTCGGACACAGATTCTGTCGATTGGTGTGGATTAATCAGCGCAAGCACTCTAATATTCAGCATGGCCAGTTGACTCATGTTGGGAGCGTGATCCGGGTCTCGTCCATGTGATAAACATTCTCTGCCAGAATGGCTAGGTCTTGTAACATCTTTCCGATCACCTCAAACCAGTGTATGATTCCGATCCCACTCCATTTTCTGCCTCCTCTATCGTCGCTGTGCTCAACCCCCAGCCTCTTCTCCGGCACCGCGTTGCCTAGCACGTCCCTTTCTCGCGCCTTCAATAGAGGCATTATAGCTTTTTATCTTCTTTAACAGCAGAACAAAGCCATTCAATTTCAGTTCCATCCGCAGTTAGCGAGAGCCTTGGGGTCCTGAAGTCTGCCCGGCGCCTTCCTTTTCAACTTCGAACTCCATGTCGTACTTTTCTCGAAGAATCCGGACTTCTAGCCCACCCATACCGCTTTCAATCATGCATTCTAGGATATCCGCCGCTTGCATTAAGAGCTTAGAGCTGACGACATATTCCTTCTTCGGCCGCAAGAGCCCCCCAATCTTCTCGGTCTGAACAGCTGTCATGAAGATGTAGCCAGCCACGTAAGGAAGCTGACTCTCATTTTCGAGATACGAAGGACCGTAGATGCGTCTCAACTCGCCAGCATTAGTGTCTTTGATGCTACGAAGCACTCTCCAGGCTGAACGGTGCAGGCGGAAGTGGTCAAATGTCAGTGCCAACTCTTCGGACATGAGTGACTGGCAGATCAAGATGAGCACCTCTGGTGTCGTGTACATTTTGCGTTTCCTTGGACTCTTGTGGTGTTTTGGCATCAAGGCCATTTCGGCGGTGTCGGCAACATCTAACTCGTCATTGTCCCCAAGACACTTCTCTAGCACCTGCTCAATGTTCGGAGCGCTTTTCCCGGAGTCGTCGAGTCTCGAGTATCCGAACCCTAGCTCATGTGCAACCGGACTTGCAGTCTTCTTCTCAATGACACCACGTGGCCCTTGCCTTGACTCAACCGGACGAGAGTGAGACCGTGCGCCGCCACGAGCAAAATTCTGTGCCGAGTAGCCTATTGCCAGACAGAAGCGTCTAAAGTACTCTTCTACGCCATCCGGCCTGCTGCCAACAAACATCACGGATTCGCCGTAGAACATCAAAGCAAGTTCCATGTCTTGCCACTCCTTGTCTAGGAACTTCTCTTTCTGGGCAGCATTGTAGATTTGTGCAGCAAATTTTGCGGAGCCCCAGGCATTAAGGAAGGCAATACCGGCTTCTTGCATGTCGAGCTTCATACCGAATAAAAGGGAACCGCAGAGCCAAGGATGACTGGTGAAGAAGGAATGTTGTGTTGCGGGCAGGTCGGGGTGCTATGTATGATTATTAAAGTACAGACGATAGTTTAGGTGTTCAAGAATAAGGACTTACTAAGCCTGACTGAATCATCTATTTCACAGTTAGCAAACCGAAGCTAAACATTGATTAAGCAGGAGATTTACCCTTTCCGCTTTTAACCTTTGGAACGTGTCCACTTCGAACCAACGCTCAATAATCTCTAAGATTGCTCTCAGAGGCTGATCATTCTCTCGTGGCCAGGTCTTAACCCTTAGCTGTTCATGAAATTGGAAGTTTTCTCTCAAAGAAGCTTTGGCGTTGAGAGCATAGTGTCGAAGATCCGCCCAGGCCATACCAGATTTGCTACGGAGGATGTGCTCGATATCCAAATAGATCTGGGCAGCGAAGTCTAGTGCCAACGTGTGACGACCTTGCTCCCTGAGCAAGCCCACATCCTTCGTCAGCTTGTCAGCAGCCGGCAGGCCCACGTTTCCATTAGCGTAGTCGAAGAAGACAATATCAGAAAGGACCTCTAAAAGGAGCACTTTATCCTCGTCAAACTTTTCGGGACCAGACATCTTTCTTCGATCTTTCGTAGGGTCGTATACTCCAAAGAATCCCGGTTTGTACAGTGGTAACTGGTTGTCTTGAATAACATCCTTGAAAGCATCAAGAAGGGCATGGGAACCGAGAAGAGAGGTTTCTACAAGTCCATAGAGGCTAAGATTTATAGGATCTGATTGCCGCGCACACGTCGCTGGATCCTGTCCTTGAAGGAAGCACTGCGCTCCAAAGAACACAGTTCTGGCGCGTACGGTATCCTGTTGTGATGGGTGGTCCTTCAAAAACTGCTCTTCTAGCTCTTGTGCCATTTGGATTGCGACGTTGGTGGTAACAGCAGCCGAAATGAGGCTGGTACAGCTCTGGGAATATGAATGCCAGATGCTTCCAATAGCGCTTCGAATCTTTGAACAGTCTTGCAGCAACGCAGCAGTCCCAAGATAAAGCTCAAGCGGGTCGTCAAAGGGCTCTACTTCGTAGAGAGAGCTGGCTGGCTCGACCTTACCGACAGCGGGCGCAGTGTCTGGGGCATTGAGGAAATCTTCAGAAGGCTCTTCGACTGTCAGAACAGCGAACATGTTATCCAGGCAACCTTCAATCTCCTTATCCGGATTCGGGACTGCAGTGGATTTGTCTTGGGGCTGAACAACGCCAGCCTGATGGTATGGTTTGAGAACATCCCTCACTTTCTCTAGAATTCCCAGAAAGTAAGAGTGCCCCTCGTCGCTCAAATCTCTAGTGTTGCTGGCTTGTTGGAGAGCGTGGTAATCGGTTTGCATCTGGCGTAGGCGGATTGCCCTTTCTATTGATGCCCAGAGCTGTGCAGGGACTTTGACATCTGGCTTGGATGCCAAATACTCTGCCAGCGTCACAAAATCTTTGACGCAAAGGGCGTATTTTGGCAGAGAGGTTGAAGAGGGTTTCGACGCACTCGCGGCATTGCTCTTAGCAATTTGTTTGGCCTTGTTCCGGGCCTTTCCTTTGAGGCGTTGGCTCTTCTGGACTTTGTTTTGTGCTTTGCCGATCAGATCTGCGGGGAAGCCGAATCGCTTTGCGGTGGTCGCGAGCCATGTCGCAATATTGTCGGTATCCTGTTTATAGCGATGGTAAGTATCGGTCAAGAGTGATGGAAGCATAGTGCTTGGGACAAGTCGTCGGCGTAAAATTTGATTGACGCTGAGAGTATGTCTTGTCCATGACCTGGCGAAGGGCCAACAATAGGATGATGTAAGCACACTAATGCACGCCAATATACGCCAAGGCGCGCTAAACATCACGCCACGTCGGGAGGCTGTCAAACGCGAGCCTACAGCTCAGGCCACCTAATGACTTACCTCGGCCGACCCTTCTTGGCAACGCTAAGCCTTATTTCGCGAGCGTTAGCGAGTGAAATCGAAAATCAATTCCCTAGGCTGGCTTCTCTGTCGTCGTTCCAGGAAAGCAAATGCCTCGGCTAAAAAAATTACCGCATTTGGACGTCACCTGACATTAGAATTCGCATAAACTTCGGCATAATGTAACGCTAAACTAGACTAGGAAGGAGCTAAGCTAGACTAGGGAAACGCTAAGCCTGATAGAGACTCTGCTGACTAATATGCCTGCAAGAACCTGTTCTCACCAGCTTGCAACGACATTTCAATACCACGCTACATTATTTTAACCTGCTGCTGCTTGATAATTGCTTAGAATAGCATGCAATACTATATAGTTCAGTGCAGCCTTGCAGCGACATCTAGGCGTTGAGCTGCAGGTGTTGCAGAGGGTGCTGCAAGAGATCGCTGAGACCGCGCAGGCTCGACTGCTAGTTATGCTGCCATCAGCTTGCGGCCATAGTTTACTACTGCGCTATATTATTTTAGCGTACCTCTGCTTGATAATTGCTTAGAATAGCATGCAATACCATATAGTCTAGTGCAGCCTTGCAGCGACATCTAGGTGTCGAGCTACAGAGTGCTACAAGAGATCGCAGAAACTGCGCAGGCTCAGCTACTCGTCAGATGACTGTACTTGGCGCTGCCATCCGCTTGCAATCACAATTCACCACCGCGCTACATTATTTTGACCTGCTCCTGCTTGATAATTGCTTAGAATAGCATACAATACCATATAGTTTAGTGCAGCCTTGCATCGACATCTAGGTGTTTGTTACAATCCTTACTTCGGGAAAATGGTGTTTTCCGGAGTACAACGGCCTATGCGAATATTAGCAAAAGGGGGTGAGAACTTAGCTGGATCAGGTGTACAGTCTGTTGAGCAGAGTGAGGGATAGTTAGGATTTAGGAGGCAGGCTGTAGTTTGTCCCTATAGCTGTATAGGTAGCTAGGGTGTTACTAGTTAAGTAGACAAAAGTTAGAGGTATATATATTATAAGATATACAAGGCAGCTTAATCCTTTTTATAAAGAAGTTAAGCTTCTTAGTTTATTATAAAGAATAAACTAAATGTTAATTATAACCTTTAAACTATAGTTAAGATTAAGACTATATACATAGTAGTTATATGCTTACATGTTTGCATGCTGTTTTTCTTTGTAGCCTGCAAGCGCGCAAGCCTGTAATACCTTATTAGATAGCGCATTCTGCTAAGCATTTATTTATAAGATAGCGCTATTTCTTTTCTATTTAGTTATAAGGTCTACTAATTATAGAGTTAACTGTCTTCTATCTATTATGCTTAGAGCTGTGTGTAATAGTAAGCTAAGTTATTATAGTTTATTTGTTAGCTATAACATGTAAGCTTTCCTTCTAGTTAGCGTCCTTACTGTTACATTTTTCTTATTATAAGTGTTAGGTTTTCTTTTTAGCTAGTGCGTGTTCTTCTATAAACACTTAATGTACGCTTATCCTTTTTAACTATGCCTTGTTAGGCTCCTTGTCCTTTTGCCTCTACTTGTTGCCTTTAGACTGTTGCTTGTCTTAACCCTTTTTATTATACAAAGATGCGTCTTTATAGTCCTTACTGCTTAAGCAGTTCCTCTTGCGTAATGTCCTTATTATTAGATAAGTGTGTAGAATGTGTTTAAAAAGGGTGTTACTATAATGTATTTATGTTAGATGCATCCTAGAATTATTTAAAAAAGGAGTAAAAAAGGTTACAAGTAGAGTTAAAAAAGGCTTAAAAAGATAAGATATGTAAGAAAAAAAAGTCCTTAGCGCATCTATAGTCCTTAGTAGCTTATTAGAAAAAAGTGTAGAAACAGCTTAATCTTCTAGTAAGTTAAAAGGCAAAATATCTAAAAGAAAACTTCTTTTTCTTAGATAAGCTTAAAGCACTTAAGGCAAAAGCTAAGAGACACTCTCCTCCTTAACCTGCGTTAAAGAAGAGTAGTTTCTCTACATTACAGCTAACTAATGCTATAATAGTTTTAGCTAATAAAGGTGTTTTCTAGTCTAGGGAACTTTTGCTAGAGTAGTTTAACTTAGAAGGCGTAAGTAATACTCCTATAGCGCCTTCTAAGTGTTCTACAGGTTTGTAACAGGTTCTTAGGTGTTTTTACAAGTTAGGTATTCTACCTACTTTATTAAGTAATAATTTCTTTTTTTGTCTAAGATCTTTTTAACTTTGTATTTAAGTTCTTTTTTATCTTATTTTTAAGTTACTAATAGAATGTTCTTAGGTGCTAGTTCTAGCTTAGAAACATAGAACTAAGAGAAGATTTTTATGTTTTTTAGTAGCTTAAGCTTGCATGCTTTTAAACAAGTTTAAATAACTTTATAAGGTCTTATTTATTTTTTAGCTAGCTTTTATGCTAGTTAAAGGTTTTTAAAGTTTATAGTATCTAAATATACATAATTATAGGGATATATTTCTAGCGCTACTTATTAGTGTTAATTTGCTAATGCTTCTATAGCTTCTATTACAAGTTAGGCTTTTTTACTTAATTTCTAATATATTTCTAGAAGTTATGTTGTCCTACTTAGGGCCTTAGGTAAGTCTATTAGTTAAGTTCTAAAAAGCTTATACTTATAAAGGTAGCTAAAATTTGCTTTATATAGGGTTATCTTAGTTAAAGCTAACTATGTAGTGTTAATAGCTAACTAGGCTATTAGCAACTATTTAGGCTAATTTATTTGTTTATATAAAATGTATTTTTATAGGTACTTTTCTATTTCTATGTTTATATGTTCTGTTTGTCTATCTGTCTAAGAGTAGTAGGCTATAGAGAGTTTATAAGTTATTTTAAGGTGTTAGACTATAGTTGTCTAATACTTGCTAGTAAAGAGTTTGTCTTTATCTAAGATAATAATTTATAGGCATTTATATATTACAAAGAGATTCTTTTTTAGTTTAAATATAAATTCTTTTACTATTATGCTTTTCTTTATTGCCTATATAAAGATAAACTTTATAGTTTTATTAACTACTACTGCAATTATATTGCAAAGTCTTTCTGTTCTAGGTTTGCAGGATAGTAGTAATCCTGTTATAAAGTCTATTATTACTATAGTCTAGGGTTGTTTAGGTGCTATAATTAGCTAAAGTTGTCTATATAGTTTATGTCTTTAAAGATTGTTTTTATTGCATAGGTTACACTCTTATAATACCTTAGTGCATAAGTGTTTTAGTTATAAAATGTTTTTAAAAATTACTTTCTTTATTTTTCTTTAAAGTAATCTTATTCTAGGGTGCCTAAACATTAGGGCCTTATAATACTCTTTAATAAAGTTTTTCTATCTATGTTTAGTAATTATTAGGGAATAAATTAATTCTTCTAGTTCTAGTTTATTATATACTAGACCCTAGTTAGTTTTCTTAAAGATTGTAAATTCTTCTGTGTCTTTTTCTAGTTTATTAAAGTAGTTAGCGCGTCTACTAAGAGTGTTAGCTTACTAGTTGCTAGTTCTAGGGACGTGTTTAATAATAAAGTTAAACTATGCTAGTTCTATTACCTACTATACATGCATAGGGGATAGTTTTTTTGTAGTTAAGAAGGTTACTAAGTTAGCGTAGTTAGTGTAGATAACAAATTGCTGTCTAAGTCTTTACAGTTCTACTTCCTAATTCCTATAGGTGTTAACTATAGCCTTAAGTTCTTTATCTAGTATAGTGTACTTCTGTTCTGCAGGGGCAAACTTTGCTAAATAGTATGCTACTAGGTGCTAATAACTATTTTCTTTGTCTAGTATAGTGTACTTCTGTTCTATAGGGGCAAACTTTGCTAAATAGTATGCTACTAGGTGCTAATAACTATTTTTTTGTTTTTATAGTAGGGCTGCTCCTTTAGCTTGTTTTAAGGCGTTAGTATGTACCTTAGTTTTAAAGGCTAGATTATACATCTTAAGGATTAGGTAGCTAGTAATAATCTTTTTTAATTCTTTAAAGGATTAATCTATTTTAGTTGTCTACTAGAATTTGTGTAACGCTTTTTTCTTTGTTATAGCGTTAGTAAGTAGGAGCGCTATCTTAGAGTAGTCCTTAATTATTCTTTATACGTAGCCTGTTAATTCTAGAAATCCCCTAATTTCTATAATAAATTTAGGTACAGGCTATTTAAGTACTTTAGTTACTTTTTTTAGGTCTATTTTTATTTAATTCTAGTTTATAATAAATTCTAGGTATTTAGTTTCTTATACATTAAATTTGCATTTTTTAAGTTAGAGGTGTAGGCTGTATTGCCTAAGGCGTTCTAATATAAGTTTTACTTTTAATATGTAATTATTGCAGCTTTCCTTAGTGTATATTAGTATGTTGTTAAGGTATACTAATATAAATATGTTAAGGTATAGATTTAAAGCTATGTTAATAACTCTTTAAAAGGTTACAGGTGCGTTAGTAAGTCTAAAGGGCATAATAAGTAGTTTATATAGTCCTCTAAAAGTTCTAAAGGCTGTTATTTATTTATGTCCTTATTTAATTCTTATCTTATTAAATCTGTCCTAGATATTAAATTTAGTAAAGTGTTTAGTTCTCTTTAGTTAGTTTATAATATTTTAGATTATTAGAAAGGGGTACTAATCTTATATAGTATTATTATTTAGGGTTTAGTAGTTCTAACATACTTTTACTTTACTATTTTTCTTTTTTGCAAAGACTACTGCTAATGCTACTAAGCTATTGCTTTCTTAGATATGTCCTTGTAACAGCATCCTGTCTACATATTCTTATAGTGCGTCTTTCTAGGCTTTAGTTAGTAGTTAGAGTTTATAAGCTTTTAGCTAAGGTTCTAGTTTAAAATTAATAGCATAGTCCTATAGCTAGTTTAGCAGTAATTCTTCTAAGTCTTTTAGGGTTTTAAACATGTCTTTATATTCCTTATATTTTTTTAGTAAAGTTTTAGTTTTATAGGAGATTTTATAGATTCTTATCTAGTTAAGGTCTTATTTTTTTTAGAGTTCTTTAAAGAACATTTCTTTTAGCTTCTCTTTTATTAGACAGACTGCCTAGGCTTTTAGTTCTTAGCAAAAGAACTTTTTTAGTTTTTCTTTTTTAGAGAAATATCTACTTCCTTCTTTTACCTATTAGTAGAAGGTGCATAAATTGTTATAGTAGGCTAACTATGCTATGTAGGGATAGTCTTGTTTTATTACTAGAGTTATAGTTTGCTAATTAATTATTAGGTTGTGTTTATAAAGCTAGTTATATTTAAGTATTACTTAGTATTTTCCTCTTAGTAGTAAGATGTTAAAAGATATCTAGTTACTAGTTCCTTTAGTGTCTATAATAAGTTTATAGGTTTTAAGTTGTATCTATTCTACTCTATATTTAATTAATAAGGCATCTACTAGGGTTACCTTAAAAGGTCTTTTTTTAGTTCTAAAGGGTATTTTCTTTTAGTTAACCTAAGTAGAGTTAATTGCTGTAAAGGTGTAACTGCTGTTTATTAGTGCAAGGCCTGTTTATTCTTATCTTAGGCAGGAAAGAGTTATTTTTATAGTTAGGCTGCAGCCTAATCTTTGTCCTATAGTAATAAGGGTGCAGAGTTTATAGGGAACTTCTAA